AATTAGATTCTTTAAATAATAACATCGGAAGTTATACAAAATATTCGAAAAATCGTTTCATTGTGTACCACTCTCCCCTAAACTCAAAAACTACTGGACGGATTTCGATAATTCTTTCACCATTAGAATACTACATTATCCCTGAGTAACATAGGCTATATTTTTTATATCCCAAAATGTTTAAAATAAATGTCCACCCGTGCGAAGCCGGGACGGGCCGCTAGTATAGTATATAAATATAGATACTTATCCTAAAACATTTGTTATCTTCAATTGAATGTCGCCTAAGCATTTTATTCCTCTTAATGGCATCTACAAAAATCAAAATATCGTAGATGATACAGATCTATCTAATACTTTACTATAAAGCTGTGAGTGATGTTTTGTACTCATACAGAATTAAATAAACATCGTAAACTATATAAAGCATACCATAGTAGTGTTGCAGGTGGTACCTATATTAAATTTTAAAAAAGCTGATTATATTTTTTTACTTCAAATTTTGTTTCTTGTTCTAAATAAATATTTACGGGGTATAATATAAACCTGCACCACATACCGATTTTAATAGCTTAGTCATTAGTCCAGACGGTCTCTGTTTCAAAAAGCCATATTTGGGTGAATCGTATATCCACGGCGATTTTTAGCTTTTTGGCTTTCAAATATCACTAGAAATGAAAATTTTTCTATGCGCATAAAAAAAACGTGGGCTTAACTTTTGGCGGCACAATATGTTAAAAAAAATGGAAAAATGTCATATTTTTCTTCCTATTTAATATCTTTAATATCTTTTTAAGAGTTGATTTTAGGCGAAAATGGAAGAGGAAAAAAATGTTTATAATTCAATTTTTTACAATACCTGACTGGTTACAAATTGAACGAATCATGATTATTATGGTAAAAATCGAAAAAATCACAAAAATGGGGTTAAAAAACAATACTTTTTAGGGAATTTTTTTGGTGTATTTAAATTGGGTGTAGGACCTTTATACTTGGCTCAAGAAAACTTCATGTTATGTAGAATCATCACACCAAATTTCATCAAAATCGGGTCGATAGATTTTGCATAATAATTTTGCAAAACAGA